TCTTTCTCCCCCCACCCCCTCTCTCTCTCTCACACTCTCTCTCTCACACACTCTCTTTCTGCTCCACCCTTTCTGCCTCTTTCCATGTCCATAGTACTCATTCCTCTTCATATCACCTTTAAACTCCCCTTCCCCTCCTTCTACGTTTCTTTTGCCCTTCCCTCCTCTCTCTTTCCACGTCCCCTTTACCCTTTTAAGTCTCCCTTCCCCCCTCTCTCCAGATATCTTCTCTTCTACAAAGCCCCCAAAACACTATCTGTGTCTCTTTCCATGTTACTGCCTGCGGTGTACCGAAAAGAAGCTGTTCATGGTCGAACGCAGAAGGCATGATGTCGATTCATCAGTGAAGATTTTAACGAGTATCTTCATCTGTCTGTTGGGACTAGCTAGGATGCTGAATCCCACTCAGCCCAGGTTGACCCTGGTGGTCAGGACTGAAACAACCTGTCTTCAAAATGGTAATTTGATGTGGGGAGAAAAACTCACTTACATTTCTTTTTTCGCTCCACCATACTCCATGTTTATCTCTAATCTCCTTCCCCTTTCTCTAAAGTCGAGTCTCTTCTCCAATAGACTCTCTCTTCATGGCTCCTCTTAGCAATTATTATTTCTTTATCCTTCCTCTGTCCCTCTCTATGTCTTTCTCTTGACTTTCCTCATTTAGACTCTGTGTCTTCTCTATCCCTATGTCTCATCTACCTCTTTCTTCTTCTCAATGTCTTTTCTACACTTCCTTTCTATCCCTCTATTTCTCCTTTTCCCTTCTTCCTCTCTCTCCATGTCTCCTTCACCTTCACCCTTCCTCCCTATGATTTCCACCCTTCCCTTACTGTATTCAGTTTATAGCACCATAAAACACCTACCATACACAATTCCTTAGGCCAACCACAACCACTTACCCTATGTCCGATAGGACAAACCTGGACCTCACGACTTGATTTTTTGATAATAGGTAGATCATCTACATCCACTAAGACAATCCCCTAACCCTAACCACTTACTAGATATGAAAGGACAAACCTATCCCTAACCACTTACTGCTCTCCTGTTATGACAAGCCTAACCCTAACCTCATTGATCTGTTTATTGTACGTGCCCTAGGACAAACCTATTCCACCCCTCATTGCACATCTGCTAGGACAAGCCTAACCCTAACCTTGATCATTACCGTGCATTCTCAAGAAAAAACTTAACCGTAATCATTGACCATATGTCTGCCAGGACCAACCTAACCCTAACCATATAAAAATATATATGTTTGCTAAGATGACCCTAACCCTAATCTTTGTCTGTATGTCTGCTGGACAAGTGTCGTTAACAACATATTTTCTAGGCAAACCCGTTTCCCTATCCCTAACTACTTACTGCACATCCGCTACGACTATGACAAACCTTAAGTACTAAAATTAACCACTTATTGTAAGTCTGCCTATCCCAAAACCAAACACCTTCCTGTATCATGCAATGTAATCCTGCCATAACCTTTTACAGCCTCTCCCCCCCCCCCCCCCCCCAGGCAGTGCTACTGACTGAAGTTGTTAAAGGCCATTCCCAAAAGGAGGGGGGGGGGGGGCATTAACATGTTCTTAAGCACAGTAGAATTGTAAATGGGCTGGTTTATAAATGTAATGCTCATACAATACTTTGCCGCAGCAACATATGGGGAACTGCTGCTTTTTCTTTCCTCATCCTTACTATTGTCATTTTTCTTCTACTTCTTTCGTATGTCTGTCACTCTCTTGTAAACTGGTATTTCCAGAGTGCCTTGATAGTCGAAGCACTGTTGAGGCTAGAGAGGTGAGCAGAATAAGCCTGATTCCCCGTGTGGCTCATATTACCTTATGCAGTTGCGAGCATCGTAAAACCTTACTAAAACTTAAAAACCTTAACCACAACTATTAATTGTTTGTTAGGATAACCTAGCCCCAACTGTACGTCTGCTAAGACAAATGCAATCTAACTCCATGACCAATTATTGTACATCAGCCATAATCCTTTTACTGTGTTAATGTTCACTGTAAGCTTAACCCTGACCACTTACTTCAGAACATCTGATGGGGCAAGCCTAACTTTTTTTTTCCGGTAAGTGTTTTTTAACGGCGCTCTCAACTGCATAAGGTTATAATATGTGCATGCAGGACACATTAAACATTTTCAGTTTGGTAGGAGAAATTAATTTTGACCGGGTGGTGGCCGAAGCCTTCTCTTATCGATTATGGACCACTAAAGGATTTTTAATGTGCACAACGCAACTTCTGACTTGCACATATGGGACCTCTGCCATTTTTTACCCTTATCCGAGAAGGCTAGGTCCTGTGTAAGTTCTTACATACCCTAAGATCAGGGAGGTGGCTAAAAGACAGCACAGTAAGAAGGAGCCAAGGAGAAGCAGTATACAGTAGAAAGCTGCAGAAAGAGTCAGCCTGAGCCTAGAGGAGGAACAAAAGGGTGGAGGGATGGGGGCAGAAAGTAGAGACAAAAGCAGACGACAGAACATGGAGAGAATAGGAAAGGAGGTGAAATGAGAAAATTTTAGACAAAAAAATTTTCCGCCACTGTCAGTTTACTAACCCAGGACATATTGAACGAGGCGAACACTGTAACTTCTGCCTCTAGACCACTAGGGCCCTCAGCCTAATTCTGACTACTTACTTTTATGTCAACTAGTCAATACAAGATGAATGAACTTAGTAAATTTCTACTTTCACTCCAGCACACAGATGTACTGCTTTGGGGGTCAAACTGCAGTATTTTTTGCTGCAGATCACGCATATAGCCACTTAAACAGTCGCAAATCAATTAATTTCAAGAAAATTAAAAACCTAACTTCAAAACATATAATTATGTTTTAAAACAAGCCTGCTCCCCTGGGTCAAAAGCGAAGAAATTATTACACTAATTAAGCTAGTGCGATAGAATCTAGTTCCATAAAAAATCATCAAATATTTTTTAAACTACTATATCTCTAGATCTAATCTGCGTTGGAAATGAAGTCGATATTCGTGTTAAGTCCATTTTTTTGTAGAAAATGGTGAGACATATAGTCTATTATAGTCTATAGTAGCTTGGCTTAATGTGAAACTGGAAGAAAAGTAAAAGAATACCCTCCTGAACTTGAACCTAGCCCTTGTTTACGCCTCATTTCAGATAGCTAGCTTAATTTCCCCAGACAGTTTCGTTAAAAAAAACACAATTTTTAAAACATGATATTATTTGCAAGTAACAGTGCTGTAGCTGCCAAGAGTCTTACACTGGTCTACTGGCACTGATTACTTTTTACCTTGACTTGGTTGAGCAATGTGTCAAGCCGCTGTCGGACATCCTCGAATGGACAGGTTAGCGAAAGTCTGAGAAGTGAGGGCATCAGGGCTTGAAGGTAGGAGGAGGCTCTCTCTTGTCCTTTTGGCCAGACTGCAGGGGGTGGGATGGGTGGACTTCCGTAACCATCCAGGCACTGGTCAAGGAGAACGTCCAGGCTGTCCAGTGTGATCTTGCGCCTGCTGGCATCTCTGGTTGCCAGACTAGAGAACTGCTGCATGGCCGACACCGCATCCTGAACGCTCTGGGACACGAACCGGCAACCCTCTGAGACTTCCTCAGCCATCCAACGTAGAGCTCACAACGATTAGGCTAGATCTCTAGATTCTCTTGTTCAGTCAAAGCAGAAGAGAGAAGCTGGAGCGACAACAACAGCTGCCCTCTCGGGCTGCCCACTGCCGACCAGACGCCCACTGCTGACAGACGCCCGAGTGTCCTGCTACTACTGCCTCCTCTACACACATCAAACAGAACACACTTAGATCTATACGTCTACACACTTACCACTCACACAAGGGCAACACACCGAGAGATCAGCTGACAACGAAGAAGGTAGGCGACGAGCAAGCATAGAGAGAACCAACACTGCCTTTCGGAGGTCGACGGGAGCCTATTTATCCTACAAACACACAACACATGAGCTACACAACGATGGCCACACAGTACACGTCGACACCTGGACACAGTTGAAAACTCCCACTCATACAGGTCAAGCTGGACAGTGGAGCAGTGCAGAATCCTTCCACTTCCAGTCGGAACATTCACGCTCACATCCAACAATAAAAAATCCAATCGAGCCGGCCTCACTGATGCAGTGCGCAAGCGCGCAGATTCCAGGTTATGACCTTTATGCAAATTAACACACCCCCAATTTGAACCAATAAACAAGCCGTTGTAACACGTTAGGCACTTGTCGTGCTGAGAGCGCTGTGGTGTTGTTTCAGGTCAGCCGCCCTTGCCCGCCCCGGCCGCAGTTTTGGCCGAGAAACAATTACCCCCCCCCCCCAACCACTTACGTTCCCCATTGGATGACTCCATTGCATTGATATACAATGCATTATGGTTGACTCTTTCATCGATTCAATCAAACATACCTACTAATACTAGTAATACCACTATATTATTATGTCGGCTACGTGCCGTCCTTTTCGACAGATCCTCATTACTTCAAAAGTTGACAGTAATAATTCGGTCACAAAAATACCAGACCGTGATAAAAACAGGCTTGATTGTCAAACGTAAATTAAAGTTTTAGAGAGAATAGAAAGACAATCAAGGACAATAATTTTGTTTTTCGTTATGTGATAAAAATGAGAAATTAACTGCGACGCACATGCACAAACGGGCACATCAAATACGAAATCGGTCATTTAAGTGACATTGAAATGTCGTTCGGGCTCATAAGATTATTGACCTACCCCATACACCGACGTTAACACACACGTAGTTTTACACACACACACATTCGGGCGGGCTTGCGTGCGTGCGTGTAGGTTTCAACGATACCTACATGCCTACATACATGTATAGGCCCTACCTATATGTAATACAAAAATACATACCTACATTCACACACACACGCACACACACACACACACACACACACACACACACACACACACACACACACACACACACACATACATACATACATACATACATACATACATACATACATACATACATACATACATACATACATACATACATACATACATACATACATACATACATACATACATACATACATACATACATACATACATACATACATACATACATACATACATACATACACCATGCATGCATACAAAAATACTTATAAGGAATGAGGGTGATAATACAATACTGATAACAGTGATAACAGCAGCAGTAGAAAAGTGTAGGCCTAATGATAACCAATACATGTAATGTATTTGATAGGCCTAGCATTAATTATTACTTTCATTATAATCTGTTATTAATTGTCTTTATTATTATTATTATTATTATTATTATTATTATTATTATTATTATTATTGTGGCTGTTGTTGTTGTTGCTGTTGTTGCTGTTGTTCTTTTTGTTGTTGTTATAACTATTATTATTATTATTATTATTATTATTTTATTATTATTACTATTACTATTATTATTGTTCTTAAAAAGGGGTAAGAGAAGAAAACCTAGTTTAAAAATACAGTTGGATATTTGTTTAAGCCAGAGGTCACAAGACGAGGCATGGAATCAGCGATGCCATATAGAGGAGATAACTCACTTATTTTGTGGAGGGAGTTTAGTAAGATGTCTAATTGTCGCCCTTATTAAATCACGGAATTAGTCTCAGAAAGTCCAGCAATGAAATGTCAGGATACGAATACGCGCACAATGCATTCAAAAGTCCAGATGGACAATCACCACATACTTAACTACTTGTTATAACTGTGCTAACACGTACAACCAAAAAAGGGGGAGGTGTGGGTCTATTTATGACAAATTGTCAGAGTTCTACACAACCTGTGCACACGATTTTCGATTTCTTTGGTGTATTCTGTCAGTGTGTTTTTACTAGCAAGCTATTCGTTATTTCGGATCATTTACTCTTCTTACACTTCCTTATAACATCTTTACGCTCTCGTTACGCTCTCTTTACATTTACCTGTCCCAGCGGTTTTCTGAGAAAAAAAAAATGAAATTAGCAAACTGAGCCCAAAATTAATGTGAAATTATGCGATTCTGTTAATTTTACCAAAGAATTATAACGGAAAATAATCAGAAATTATGCAAAAAATGATCCCATTTTACTAAATTATGAAGGGCGCATAAAACCACGGGGACAGATTCACCTTTCAGTCTCCTGACATTTTCCTTACGATCTCCTTACAATTCACCATACTCTTTCCGACGGTTCTCTCCGAACACCCTTCTTACACTCTTTTCACACTTTGTTTCCTCTAAAAAAAACTTTACACCGTCCTCACACTCTCCTCGCACTCTACTCACACTCTCCTTACAATATACATATTACATTTTCCTTATACTCTTCTTTCACTGTCCTTCTACTCTCATTACATTCTTCTCAAGGGGGCTCTCGTGGCCTAGAGGTTAAGGTGTTGGCCTCTCATTCAAAGGTCCCGGGTTCGATTCCGGGTAGCGACCAAAAACATTTTTCTTCTCTAAAATTGTCTCCATTCACATCCTTTCCTGATCTCTAACAATGTTCTGTTGTCTGCTTTCA